ACAGTTCGAGTCCCGGACCTGGTGGCTTCCTTTCTCACTTTCCCTCTTTCTCTTTCTCTGTGTCTCTCTCTGGCCAAATTAAAACAAATGAATGAATAAATCAAATTAAATAAATAATTCTTTTTAAAAAATAATAATTATGTACCAATGCCACCTTGCCTAGAAAGCTCTCTTCAACAGCTAGGGATTTGTACCAGAGACCAATCGATGACCTGCTATGTCATTCTGCAAGAGGATCTTTAGATTAGAAACTCCCAAGAAAGGCTCTTGGACTCTTTAGCACTCAGAATAGCTCAGGACTGGCAGTTCTTAACCAGGGCTGATTCTGCCCCCGGGGGACACTTAGAAATGTCTGGAGGCGTTTTTTACAAAGAGCAGAGGAGGAGGAGGGACTCCAGGAATCTAATGAGCTTAGGGCAGGGGTGCTGCTCAACTTTCTAGAAAGCACAGATGCCAGCAGTGGTCCGGCCCCACTGTCAGGAGGCCCCAAGTGGAGAAATCCTGCTTTGGGAGGAGAGACGCTGGCAGTCTATCTATACCTCTGTCTTGTCTATACCTCTGTCTCCCTGGTGACTCTTTCCTGGGGGTGACTTTGGCCCCAGGGGTGTTTGGCAATGTCTGGAGACTTTTTTTTTTTTTTTTTTTTTAGATTTTTGCCAAAAGCTGGGACCAGCAGGTGGCGTGGCGATTGAGGGCACTGTATTCCCACATGGCTGACGTGGTTCAATTCCTGGACCTGGTAGCTTGCTCTCTCTCTCTCTCTGTCTGTCTGATCAAACTGAAAAAAATAATAAAATAAAAATAATTTTAGATTTTTGGCATAAGGGGGTGTGCGCTTGCCGGAGAAAGAGAGACAAAGACAGAGAAAGTGAGAAATTGCTCTGAAGTGGATAGATGACCACACCACAATCCCTTCTCCTCTTGGGATTTTGGCACACATGCACGTGTGTCCACTATAATTTTCTTTTCTTTTTTTTTTTTTTTTTTGAGAGGGTTTTGCTACAGGGTGCATGCGCTCACCAGAAAGACAGAGAGAGACAGAAAGACAGAAAGTGAGAAATCACCCCCCCCAGGGGGGATGGCCACACCACAATCCCTTCTCCTCCATTCTCCTCTCGGGATCTTGGGCACGCATGCACACGTGCCCGGCGTGAGTTTAAGCCACCAGGTCCGGGACTCGAACTGTGGTCGACTACATGGGAGTCCAGCGACATAGCCATGACGCTAACTGCTGGTCCCTATTACTATTTTTTAGTTCGATTTTTACTATAGGGCACATGTGCTCACTGGAGACACAGAGACTGAGAAACATAAAGTGAGAAATCACCCACCCACCCCCATCCCCACCACACCTTCACCCCTGGCAATGGCCACACCACAATCCCTTCTCCGTTCTCCCCCTGGGATTTTGGGCATGCCGGCACACACACTTCGCGGTACTCAAACTGTGGTCAGCCATGTGGGAGACCAGAGCCTTAACTACCACTCCACCTGTTGGTCCCTTTACTACTATATTTAATGAGAGAGAGAGAGAGAGAGAGAGAAAGAAAGTAACCGCCAAGTCTGGAACTGGAACTCCCACATGGCGAAGGGCCATCTGGGAGTCCAACGCTTTAGCCACCACGCCCCCTGCTGGCCCCAGGCCGTAGTACCTTAATAAATGCTGAATGAATGACTACTCAGTGGGGCTGCAGCGGGACAGAAGGTCATCTTCCAGCTCCCCGCCTGGGTGGAACTAGCGGGAAGCAGGACAGACCGCAGGAGGGACTTCCCATCCGCCATACCTTGGCGATGATGGGTGACGGTGTCCCAGGGCACCTGCCCTCGCCCTCCCTGAGCCCCGCGTGTCCCGCAGATCCTGCTCCTGGCCTTCCTGAAGCTCATCGATGAAGGCAGCCACATGGTGATGTTAGAGTGTCCAGAGACCGTCAACACGCTGCTGCACGAGTTCCTGCTCTGGGAGCCCGAGCCCTCGCCCAGGGCTCTGCCCGAGCCCCTACCGGCGCCTCCGGAGGAGAAGAAGTAGCCACCGGGCCGCCAGGGCATTGCTTGGTGAGCAGAGCTGCAGGACGAGGAGACCGGGGAGAGCTCGCGTCTGGTCTGCAGCGCGGACCGCCTGGGCGGGGCCGTTCGCTCTGGTGGGCGTGGTCAAGTCAGGGACACGCCCCCAGGCCGGCTGGGCAGGGCGTGGCATCGGAGGGAGCCAGGTGCACTCTGAGCTCTCTGCTTTCGTCCTGCGGCGCCATCAGTTCGAGTTCGGGGCCGCAGCCAGGACCCCCGCGGAGGATGACCTTGTACAGAAGTCCCCTGCCTACCCTCCCCTCAACTCCATGGCCGAGGAAGGCCCCTCACCCTACGCTCTCTATCTTCCGTGTCAGCTGTGCTTAATCCTGGGATCACGGAGCCCCGCAGGGACTCCGAGGCCCATTCCATTGCCCAAGACCTCACTCCCCCCGCCCCCATTCCTCGGCGCTGGGAGCTATTGTTGCCCAAGGGGGGAGGGATGGGGGGAGCTGACGCCACCGAATCTGCACATCTCAACCTTGTAACTCAATAAAAAAAAAAGACAATCGGAATCTCCAGACCTCCTTAAACCTCAGGGGCCTCATCTACGGACTTAGAGGAGTGTTGGTGCCTATTCCTCAGATCCGGGGTTGCATCTTGAAGACCCGCAGACTTCCTAAGGCAGGGTTTGCTGGGGTATGTTCTCAGCCATAGTCTCAAGGACTGAGCTCCCTGGCTCTGTCAGGAGAGAGGAGGTTCAATGGAGGATGGGGTGAGGATTTATGGAGGTTGCATGAGATTCGTGTGTATACCAGGTCTTACACCGCGTGCCTGACACCCACGGGTTCATTTGTCTCCTGGCCATGCCCTGCCCAGTCAGTATCTCTCTCTGTCTTAACATTTTTTTTAAGAGAGATTTTTTCTTTTTGGAGAGGTTTTTGCTATAGGGCATGTGCGCTCGCCAGAAAGAGACAGAGAGACAGAAAACGAGAAATCACCCCCCAGCGGGGATAGCCACGCCACAATCCTTTCTCCTCCATTCTCCTCTTGGGATCTTGGGCACGCACGCACACGCGCCCGGCGTGAGTTTAAGCCACCGGGCCCAGGACTCGAACCGTGGTCGACTACATGGGAGTCGAGCGACATAGCCATGACGCCAACTGATGATCCCCTCTTATTATTTTTAAGCTTGCTATAGGGCATGTGTGCTCACGGCAAAGGGCGAAAGCAAGCCACCGGGTCCAAGACTCCAACCGTGATCCGTGATGTAGTTTTCAGCGCCTTAACTTCCATGCCACCTGCTGGCCAGACATTTTTAATTGCCATAACTGGGGACAGGCTGCTGCTCTGCGGGCAGAAGCCCTGGATGCACATCCTACTGTGCACAGGAAATCCCTCGTCACAGAATGATCCAGCCCCAAACGTCATTAGGGCAGAGGTTTGGGGTGCCTTTGGACAAATCCCATCTCCTTAGGGAATTTTGGGGATCTCTGGGTTCTTTTCCAAAGACGTCTGTGTATTCCGGGGTGACGGCACGGTAACTGCTAGCGCTTTAGCAGAGCCGGTGTCTGGACAGCCTGCCTGTTTTACTGAGGAGGAATCGGAAGCAGGGGACAGGTGCATCGCCCCTGAGCTGCCATTCTCTGAGAGCAACCTGGGACGTCCCTTGGGGAAATCCTAGACAGGTGGAACCGCCCCCTGGCTACAGCCCGCCTGCTGCGGGACCTGATTCGCTGAAGCCTGATGATTGGCAAGCCCTAAAGCTAATGAGGTAGCAGAAGTCCTAAAATCTCTAAACCATGGGAATTTTTATATTATTATTATTCATTTCTTATTATTATTGTTAACTTGTTATAGAGCACATGTACTCACCAGAACTAGAGAAAGAGAGAGTGTGAGAGAGGAAAGTTAAAAAGCAAGGCGCCAGGTCCGGGACTCAAACCCCTGCCTGGCACCTTCACAAATACACCACCTGCTGGCCCACCATGGGCTCTTAAAAAAGCAATTTTTTTTTTAAAGAAATATTTATCGGGGCTAGCAGGTGGCGTGATGGTTAGGGGCGTTGGATTCCCACACGGCTGACCATAGTTCAAGTCCCAGACCAGGTGGCTTGCTTTCTTACTTTCCCTCTCTCTCTCACTCTGTCCCTTTCTGGTCAAATTTAATTCTTTTTTCAAAATATTTATTTAATTTTATTTATTAATATTTTTAAGTTTTGCTATCGGGCATGTGTACTCACCAGAGAGAGACAGAGACAGAGAGAGAGGGAAAGTGAGAAAGCAAGCCGCCAGGTCCAGACTTGAACCGTGGTCTGCCAAGTGGGAAGTCCAACGCTCTCAGCCACCATGCGCCGCCTACTGGTCCCTAAAAAAGCAATTTCTGGAAACCCCTCTCCTCACTCCCCAAACTGGACCACAGACGTCCCTGCATTAATATCCAACCAGGACCGCGGTTTGGTATTCCAGAGCCCTTGGCCAGTTTGAGAAGGATCTCAGAGCGTCGCTGGGGAAGTCGCGGTTAAGTCCGTGTAAAAGTAGTTCGAACCGGTTCAGAGGCAATGCCAGGAGGCCAGGGTGGCACAGCGAACCTTGGCCCTGCCCACCTCCCGTTCCTCTGTACATTTCCCACCGGGGCCTCAGCCACATTCGGTACCCGGTACCCGCATGCCCTCAGGCACCCCCACAGTGACCCCCAGGACAGGGTCCTACCATTCAGTGCCACTATTGTACAATTAAAGAAACTGAGGCTCGGGACCAGCAGTTAGCATAATGGCTATGTTGCTGAACTCCACCACTCGACAGCGGTTCAAGTCCTGGACCCGGTAGCTTAAACTCACGCCGGGTGCATGTCTGTGCGTGCCCAAGATCCCCAGAGGAGAATGGAAAAGGGATTGCAGCGTGGCCATTCCCCTCTGGGGGGTGATTTCTCACTTTCTGTCTCTCTGTCTCTCTGTCTTTCTGGCGAGCGCATGTGCCCTACAGCAAAAAAAGAAACTGAGGCTCAAACAGATAAATTATTAGTCTGAGCAATGACCTTGTTTTTTTTTTTTTAAATAAGAATTATGTTATTTGCCTTTAGTTAGTTTAATTTGACCAGAGAGGGACAGAGTGAGGGCGCATGAGAAAGTAAGAAAGCAAGCCATCAGAAACGGGACTCGAACCATGGTCAGCCATGTGGGGAGTCCAACGCCCTCAGCCACCATGCCACCTGCCGGCCCCATCAGTGAACCTGTCTCTGGAGTTGGGCATGGAGCTTTGCTGGAGCTGTGATAGTACCCCGCCCTCCCACCATGTGGGTCCCCTCTGTCTACATGACGGTGGACTTGGGATTGGGGCACTGGACTCCCACATGGTCAATTGTGGTTCAAGTCCTGGATGGGGTGACTTGCTTTCTCACTTTCTTTTTCTCTCTCTGGTCAAATTAAAATTCTAATAAGAATTTTTTAAAAAACTGGGGCCAGCCGATGGTCTGGTGGTTCAAGTGCTGAACTCCCACATGGCTGTCCATGGTTTGAGTTCCGACCTGGTGGCTTGCTTTCTCACTTTCCCTCTCTCTCTCTTCCTGTCTCTCTCTAGTCAAATGGAAAATAATAACAGTAATAGTAATAGTAATAATAAAATTAAAGCATAATTATTTTTAAAATAATGATCATGTTTAAAAACAAAAAATTAATTGGAACCAGCAGGTGTCGTGGTGGCTAAGGTGCTGGACATTCCCACATGGCTGACCACAGTTTGAGTCCCAGACCAGGTGGCTTGCTTTCTCAGTTTCCCTCTCTCTCTCTGTGTCTCAGTGTCTTTCTCTACTAAAATTAAGAATAAATTTAAATTAAATTAAAAGAGGGACCAGCAGTTAGCATAATTGCTATGTCGCTGGACTACCATGTAGTCGACCACAGTTTGAGTCCCAGACGTGGTGACTTAAACTCACGCTGGGCGCGTGTGCGCCCAAGATCCTGAGAAGAGAATGGAGGAGAAGGGATTGTGGCGTGGCCATCCCCCCTGGGGGGGTGATTTCTCACTTTCTGTCGCTCTTTCTGGCAAGCACATGTACCCTATAGCAAAAACCTCTCCAAAAATAATAAATAAATAAAAAGAGAGAAAAAGTGGATTCTGTCCACTTAGAACCAAACTTGCACAGTGTTCCGAAGAACCTTCTGGTTCCCCAGTTGCACACACACACGTGCACACACACACACACACACACACACACACATACACCTGCCGTCTGAAGCCAGAGATGGGGGCTGCTCTCCGCTCGGGGCAGCTGGGGCATTCAAGCACCCGGATCTCTATCCGGGTGGGAAGTTCGGTTCTGCAGAACTCAGCCACGGGCCTGGATGTCCTGGGGTCGTAATTCTCGCTGGCCCTCAGCCAGGAAGACAAGAAGGGCCCGATGCAGCAGGTGCACCCCCAAGCGGCGGCGGGGAGGGGGTGGCCAGCCCGCCGCCACACCGTAATAGTGACCTTGCTTCTGGTTGGTCAGCGTCCGGATCCCTGGAGAGATGGAAGACGGGGTTACAGGGCCGCAGCCCCAGGGGCCTCCTCACCCCTGAGGAAATTGGGAGTATTGCCCTCAGGCAGGGATAAACCAATGGAGCAACATGCGTGCCTGACCAGGGACAGAGGGAGTGCTCAGTGAGTTGAGAGTCTGGCAAGTGGCATGGTGGTTGAGGCACGGGACCCCCACATGGCTGATCCTGGTTCAAGTCCTGGACCTGGCTGCTTTCTTTCTCACTTTCCCTCCCTCTTTCTCTCTCTCTGGTCAAATTTTAAAATAATAATAATAATAGGAGCCAGCAGGTGGCATAGTGGTTAAGGCACTTAACTCCCACGTGGTTGATTGTAGTTCGAGTCCTGGACCCGGTAACAAAACTCACGCCAGTCGCGTGTGTGTGCGTGCCCAAAATCCCGAGAGGAGAATGGAGGAGAAGGGATCACAGTGTGGCCATCCCCCCCGGGGGGTGATTTCTTGCTTTCTGTTTCTCTGTCTCTCTCTGTCTTTCTGGCGAGTGCACATGCCCTATAGCAAAAACCTCTCAAAAACAAAATTATTTATGGAATCAGCAGGTGGCATGGTGGTTAAGTCGCTGGAAACTCCCACATGTTTGATCATGGTTTGAATCCTGGACCTGGTGGTTTGCTTTCTCTCTCTCTCTCTCTCTCTGTTTTGCTCTGGTCAACTTCAGAGAATGATTTATTCATTTATTTCCATTTATTATTATTATTCGTTTAATTTGAACAGAGAGAGTCAGAGAGAGTGATAAAAGGAGAAAGCATGCCGCCAGGTCCGGGATTCGAACTGCATTCAACTACATGGAAGTCCAGTAACATAACTATTATGCCATCTGCTGATACTATTATTATTATCTTTAAAATTGACCAGAGAGAGACAGAGAGAGAGAGAAGAGAGAGAGAGAGAGAGAGAGAGAGAAGGGGAAAGCCAGAAAGCAAACCGCCAGGTCTAGGACTCGAACTGCAGTTGGCTATGTGAGAATCCAGCACCTTAACAACCGCACCACCTGCTGGCCCCAAATTAAATAATGCTACTTGGGGTCAGCAGGTGGCACAGTGGTTAAGGGCACTGGACTCCCCACATGGTCGACCATGGTTCAAGTCCCGGACCTGGAGACTTGCTTTCTCATTTTCTCTTGTGCTGTCCCTCTCTGGTCAAAATTAAAATAAATAGGGAACCAGCAGTTAGCGTCATGGCTATGTCGCTGGACTCCCACATAGTCGACCGCGGTTCGTGTCCCGGACCCGGTGGCTTAAAAAACTCACACCAGGCGCGTGTGCGTGTGTGCCCAAGATCCCGAGAGGAGAATGGAGGAGAAGGGATTGCGGCGTGACCATCCCCCCTGGGGGGTGATTTCTCGCTTTCTGTCTCTATGTCTCTCTCTGTCTGTCTGGCGAGCGCACGCGCCCTACAGTGAAAATCTCTCTCTCAAAAAAAAAAATTAAAATAAATAAATAAATATATAAAGTTAATTTTAAAACAAAAACAAAAACTCCAACTTAAAACGATACTTGTTCATTGAATGAATAAAGAGCCCCGAGAGGGAGCTGGTAGGTAGGATGCCCCCAGGTGACGCCTGCCCCACACACCAGCTACCTACCTAGCGCATCCACCAGACACGCTTCCCGAGTATACGCCTCTACCGCCACCACGTGCTGGAAACAGTGCAAGGAGACCACGCCGCGGCCGCTGGCCCAGATGTCCAAGATCCGACGCACCTTGGGGCAGACCTGTGGGCACGGGCAGAGTCAGGACTCAGCCCCCAAATACCCTTCTCCCTGTCTCTGTGCATGGCCTGGCTGGCCCTACCAGACTCTGATCCCTGTCCTCACACCTGTTTTCCTGGCTGCCCACGGCGGCCAAGGGCCTCCCAGAGGTGGAAATCCGGCCGGGACCGCGTCCCCTTGCCCACGTAGAAGATGGCTCGGACGAACATCTGAAGGCGCTCAGCTGGGGTCAGTGCAAAGGCACGGGCCGGCAGGTCCTGAGTCTCCCTGAAGGAAGGAGGCAGAGCAGAGAGGGACGAATGACAAACAGTGGCCCCAGGGAGAGTCTCTAAAGTATAGAAAAATTAGAACCCATGCCCAGTGATATAGCTTTGTAGGACCAGAGAGGGGTGGCTGTTCCCTGAGGATACTCAGTAACTTGAATGGGGTTCAACCACCTTTTATAAAGAAGCTGCTGGAAGGGGTCAGCAGGTGGCGTGGTCACTAAAGTGCTGGTCTCCTACATGGTTGACTGCGGTTTGAGTCCTGGACCCGGTGACTTGAGGATCCAGGCGTGTGTGCATGCGTGCCCCCAAATCCCAGGAGGAGAATGGAGGAGAAGGGATTGCAGTGTGGCATCCCCCGTGGGGGGGTGATTTCTCACTTTATCTCTTTCTGTCTCTCTCTGTTTCTTTCCAGTGAATACAAGTGCCCTATATGATTAAAACCTTAGAAGGGAAGAAAAAAGAATAGGGAAGGGAAGGGAAAGGAAGGAAGGGAAGAAAGGGGGGAGGGAGGAAGGAAGAAAAGAAAGAAAAGAAAAGAAAAGAAAAGAAAAGAAAAGAAAAGAAAAGAAAAGAAAAGAAAAAAGAAAAGAAAAGAAAAGAGAGAGAGAAAGAAAGAAAAATAAAAGGAAAAGAGGGGCCAGCAGGTGGCTTGGTGGTTAAGGTGTTGGACTCTGAAACAGTCAACTGCAGTTCGAGTCTTGGCCTTAACGGTTCACTTTCTCACTTTCCCTCTCTCTGATCAAATTTTAAAAAGAATGACAATAGGGACCAGCAGATGGTGTAGTGGTTACATCACTGGGCTCTCATGTAGTCAACCGAGTTCGAGTCCTGAACCCAGCAGCTTAAAACACACACCAGGCATGTGCGTGCATGCCCAAAATCTCAAGAGGAGAATGGAGGAGAAGAGACTGTGGCATGGTCATCCCCCAGGGGATGATCTCTCACGTTCTGTCTCTGTCTCTCTAGTGAGAGCGCATGTGCTCTATAGCAAAAATCTCTCTCCAAAATAATTAGTAATAATAATAACAACATTAATCATAAACAAAATTAAATAATTCTATAAAAAGAAAGGGACCCAGCAGTTAGCATAATGGCTATGTCACTGGACTCTCAAGTAGTCGATCACGGTTCGAGCCCCGGATCTGGTGGTTTAAACTCACGCCGGGCGCGTGTGCGTGCATGCCCAAGATCCCGAGACGAGAATGGAGGAGAAGGGATTGCGGCGTGGCCATCCCCCCTGGGGGGTGATTTCTCACTGTCTCTCTGTCTTTCTGGGGAGAGCACGCTCCCTGTAGCAAAAACCTCTCCAAAACAAAAATTAAAAAAAGAAAGAAAGGAAGACAGAAAACCAAGCCCGCTGTGTGCTAGCTCCATCCGGGTCTTCCCTGCCGGCATACCTGGGGTCCAGGAGCAGATATGTGAAGCTGGACTTCACGACCCCCTCGCGCCACCTCCTGGTGGGATCCGGCCGCTCAAATTGCCGGGCCAGGGCGTCCTCATCTCCCTGGGCGTCTGGGATCCGGCCGGTCCTCAGGGCCTCAGCCAGTTCCGGGCTGCGCCCTGCAAAGTCTGGGACTAGGAGGGGAAACTGAGTCAAGGGAGGAAGAGGCAGGGACAGAGCTGCTGGGACTGAGCCACGATTCCTGGAGGCTCCTTGGACCCCAGATGCCCGGGAAGGACTAACCAGAAGCCGCCTGCGCTTCCTGGAGCCGCTGCAGGTGGTGGCGCCAAGTCAAAGGTGTGACGGGGCCAGGACTCTCGCCAAGTGCTCGGAGTCCCTGCATCCGCTCCAGATCACACACAGGGGGGACAGGGTCCCTGCCCCCCAAAGAACTTTCCTCGTCCTCCGTCAGCCAGAGGGCTGCCGCGTCACTGTCCAGGCACGTCTGCTCGTCGTGTGTCTGGAGGATAGCTGGTCGCCTGGGGGGTTCAGACCGCGGTTCCTGCAGAGGGCTCAAGGCTGGGCTCCCGTCCAGCAGAGACGTCCAGGAGGGGGACAGCTCAAAGCCATTAGCAACGGGTGAGGTCAGAGTCAGGCCCTGCAGACGAGCACTTAGCTCTGCCTCCCCGCCAGGCGTTATGGCTCCTTGCGCCCCCTGGAGGTTACCCCGAGATCTGGGTACTGTCTGGGTGGGTTGTATACCAGCCGGGTCTGCCACTGGGTCTCTGGCTTCAGAGACCTCCACCGCGGTGACAAAGGAGGCATCTGAGCTACAGTCCCAGAGTGGTGACGCGGGAGGCCTATCCGGAGACTCATTTGCAGCCTCAAGAGAGGCAGGGAGGCTGGGAAGTCCCAGATCAGCCTCCAGGTCCGTGTTCTGGTTGTCACCTCTGGCTGGCTGGCTTTGGAGTGTAGTAGAGCCCAGTGTCCCATCAGGAGGTCCAGAGAGAGCTGAGTCTGGAGATAAAAGCAGGAGTCAGGGGACCACCAGATGGTGTAATGGTTACATCTTTGGACTCCCACGTAGTCGACTGTGGTTCAAGTCCCAGACCCGGTGATTTAAAACTCACACCTGGCATGTGCGTGTGTGCCCAGGATCCCGAGAGGAGAATGGAGGAGAAGGGACTGAGACGTGGCCATCCCCCCCGGGGGTGTGATTCTCGCTTTCTGTCTCTGTCTCTCTCTGTCTCTCCAGTGAGTGCACATGCCCTATACTAAAAACATCTCTCTTAAAAAAAAAAAAAAAAACAAAAAACCGGGCCAAAGAGTGGGTGAAACGCCTGGGCGC